ATTTCATAATCATATACGAAATTCAACGAAATACATACAAAAATAAAACATAGGAGTTTTGCCCGCTCATTATTTGTCTTCTTCGATTCTCATCTCGACCTTATATAATAGAAAAATCATAAAATCTTGCAAAAATACGAAAACTCCTTGAAAAGATTCACCAACCAAAAGCCCATGAAAAGTACAATCCATCTAAATGCCAAGTTAACAATCCACAGCGTATCAAAACTGCAAAATTCTCCATCGATTGGAGAATTTCAAAAAAATCTATTGAATTGAAAATCCGACCAAACAATGTTGGTGTTTAGGCTAACAAAGCCAAAAATAAAACCAATACGACCACGAAAATAAAAACAATGCATGGGTGCTTTGTTAATATAATTGATCAAAAATTCAATGTTGCATGGGTACTGTCTTTTGATAATTGATCCCTGCGATGTTAAATTCAATGGTTCACGTGTACACTCTCCATGCACGGAGAGTGCATTCTGTACACTTTGTTTGAATTTTTTTCTTTTTTCTCTTATTTTTTAAAAAAATTTTCTCTTTTCTTTAAGCTAATAACAACTCCAATTTTTCGATTTTTAGAGAAATTTTAAGATTGTTCATTTTTTACGAAATTTTAGCTAAATTTATTAGAAACGTGCCAATGAACGAAAATCAGCAGCACAATGATAATATAAGAAAAAATATACATATTGAAAAAAATTATATTCTCAAACTCTCAATTATAACACAATCTGCTCTTCCATTATTATTTGGAAATGAGAATCTTGTTGAATCTGTAAATTCTAGATGGTTATCATGCTTTTAATTATCGGTTAATTTTGCATCGATTAATTCTCTTTGGTTGCGTCAATTCTTGTCAAAAAATTTAAGAATTGGAAAATGTAATTTATATTCGAATATTGTTTAGACTTTTTTTCCGTAGATTCTTGATAGGAACTACACAGAGAGAAGAGAAAAAGAAATAAGGCGTGATTTTCGCACTTAAATAATGCTACAGTGAGACAAAATGGAACAAAACACTGTCGATTTAAAAGAATTAAAAGGAATTTTAAATAAAAAAATATTTACAATATGAAGAAAAAAGAAATTTAAAACAATTTTCAAAAAAAAAAAAATACAATAAAAACAAAATAAAAAAAAGTTACAAAAATTAAATAAAGAATATATAAATATTATTTCGTTAAAACTGAAAAATTAAGTTTTATTTGGAAGAGAAAAGAATTAAAAAGAAATTTAAATTGATAAAAAAAAAACAATTATTTATAAAGTATAAAAAAAAAAAAAATTGGATAGGAAACACATTTTTGTCTCTATGCATGGAGACAAATGTCTCCGTGCACATAGAAATTTAATTTTTTATTTTTTTTTGGCACTGTTTAGTTTACATTATATATAATTTTTTTCAATTTAAAATTCTTTTTAATTATTTTCTCTTCAATTTTTTTAACTTACAAGTGACTTTTTCATTAAAGCTGGAAAATTAATTTTTATTTCGAAGAGAAAAGAATTAAAAAGAAATTTAAATTGATAAAAAAAATAATTATTTATTAAGTTAAAAAAAACATGCACGAAGACTTTGAGAGAGATTTTTTTTAAGCTAATATATTTTTACATATAATAACCAACTATAATGATAATTTTTTTTTATTACACTTAAAAAAGTTGAAGCAAATTTTTTACTTATAACTACTCTTTACATTTTAGAAATATACTGAGCTAATTTTTTTTATTGAACATGGAGTGAAGAGATGAAACTTGGTGGAAAGTTGCGTGTTGCAATAAATTTGGAGGTGCACTGTATAATAAAATATATACTAAGACAAATGGAGTCATTTTTGCTCTCCCACTTGAAAAAAATAAAAAAATAAAAATACTACAGTGAGATAAAATGGATTAAAACACTATTTACTCTAACAGTGTCTCCACATTCCACTTTTTATATAGTAGGGATACTATGGACCAATACATTTAGTGATTGCTAAAAGTAAGTTTTAAACTGTAAAATTTTATCTATTCATTCCAATCTCACACATATGATTACGAAATTTGTTAATTTTTGTAATATGAGCTTGAATATGATGCTAGAAGTATGAAATATCAATGATTTATTATTATTATCATTAGATTTTGGCAACATGAAATAAAGGTTGTATGTGTTATGTTTGGTTGTATTGTGAATGTGCATTAATTTAACAATTTCACAAAAAGGTGTGTGATTCGATGATGGATAAGTTAATTTTTTATACCATGAGTACCATTTCTTGACCACCAAATAATTATTATAGAACAATCCAATTATAATGCTACATTCCTATATTACTTCAAAATAAGTATGTGACAATTTATGTGTGGGATGGATGTAGATGTGGAGACTGTCACTGTGTTCATTAGTTGTGGTTCAAATACATTTGAACTTCTTGTGCTAATAGGGTGCTTGCTAGCAGATCTTATTAACACAATATCAAGTGAATTACAGATTAATATGAGCTTCGGTCTAAGGTGGATTAAGTTGTTGATGTAGACATGACCTCTATTTGGATAACTAATAACTCTCTCCCATTCTACATGGAGTTCTAGCACAAGGACAGTCGAATCACTGCGTCCCTGGTAGTAAGTGTCCATACGTTAAATGAAGATTCAATGTACCGAATGCTAATTACAACAAATTGCGCACTTCTCGTCGAATAGGACAATATAAATACTTACAAACATCTCAATCAGTCTTCTGACCTTGATGCATAGTCGTCATGCAATTTTCAAATGCATAAAGCTATGTATTTAATCCTTCTAAATATTGGCCAATTATATTTAGAATAATAATTTTCATGAAGCAAACATTATTATGCTATTTTGCAATATACATATGTTATTTATGCTATACGTGATTTTAAATTACTCAAAATGTGGTGTGTGTTGTGTCATTCTGCTGTATATTACATTTCTAGTACATGCATCAAATTTTGTTGATCCTACAGTTGATTCATGAATATGTCTCAAGTTAGGCTAGCACATCGTGTTATACAAAATGGTTCTCATGTCAGACGTGCAACTTATAACAACAAACTTAGATTTGGTCTTTAGCTTATACAACTGTCTCTATCTTTTGATAGTACCAGTACGAGGAAGATTTATAGCATGTTCTATAAAAGACATCCAAAGTAGTAAAATAATATCTAGATGGATTTGTATCAAACCTGTGAAACATCAATTTATTTTGATTGTTTTCGCAACACGATGAAACACAAAACATTGTTTGGAAATGTGTGACTTTAACATGTAGTTGCAATATTAATAACGAAGAAAATTCAAAATGTAATATAGCATTTCGCAACATATCTTTGAAAATACGGTCATTGCAATAACCATATCAAAATGGGACGTAACATCTAAGCAAGCGTCAACAATACAAGTTTCTAGAAACCCAGTTTCTCTATACTACTCAAAATTACTGCTATATATATATATAGAACACAGACATCACACCTACTAGCATATGCATCACCAAAATAAGTGGACAATTATTTTGTAGAATATGAAGTTATGCATTTTTTGCATCCCTTCCCTTCGTAGCTTTCCTCACTTAGTGGGACGAGATCGGCATCAGTTTGATATCCCGACAAATCTTCTGGTTTTCGTCCTTGTTTAGTTAACAATTGAGGTCTCTCCTAGCAATGTTGGGAATAAAACTTTCGGCCATTGTCAAACAGGAGAAAAACCAAAATATGGTACACAATTCAAATCTTTCTAAAAGCGTGACAAGAGAAGAACTTATCGATGAGTCACTGAATTAATCTGCAACTATCAGCACTCCTCAGATGGTTGGTTGGGTTGAATCCGGGCTACTAGCTCTGCAGTTCTTTCCTTTGTCTTCATCCATGTATAATCATATACTAATTAATATAGTGATAATTTGCGGTAGAATTTGGGAATTTGAGAATTATTGGGATTGAATTGCCAATAACCCAGTAATTAATCGAATGTTCCGATCCAACTTTAAAAAATAAAATAAATTTAGGAATCGAAATCGATAACCAAGAACTAACTGAGTTAGGTTGATTCTTGTTTCCTAAACCAAAATCGTGTGTACCTCGAATGAAATCAATTTTTAAATAAATTTTTTATTTACAATTTATAGGCTGAATAAAAATTTCAAAACCTAAAAATCATAATTTGAGTAGTAATTTATTTAAATCTCGAGACTCTAACCCCTAGGAAATCAAGATTGGCCCCTATTTTTTTATTTTTTATTTTTGTCACTTGCCCAACATCAGATTGTTGCATTTTCAAATATTAGTACATGTTAATCTTTATAATTTGAACTTTTATGAATAAAAAAGTTCAAGATAAATTGTGATGTAAGTTGATTAATCAAAGCGTTTATTGTTTGCAATTCGAGCTTCCTTTTCTTTTCTTCTATTTTTTTTTTTTTTTAACTTTTTTGCATTGTTTAAAAACTTAAGTAATTTTTCAATTTTTTTTTATAACACGTGGCAATTAAACTTTATATATTCATAGATTGGGCTGTGATGTACATTTTTGGTTATCTTACGTTCGTAGCTCTTTTTTGAAAAATAATTTTTTTTTTTTTTTTTTTATACAAGCATAACGAGTTCAATATGTAGATTGCAATTTCTTAATACTATATAGGTAAGTATCTAATTAGTATTTTTAATGTCAATTCATTTTTAGAGTAGAGAATTTAAGTATTGTCCATAATTAAATTATAGGTTCTAGTATGCCTCACTTATGGATCAAATAAGATTTATTAAGAAAAATCCTTTCTTATCAAACTACAATTTAATTTTTGATGATTTAATTTTCTTCTCTTTTCATGATTTTTAGTGTCCACTATTTTATTTCTTGAAGATTCCTTAGTTAGATTTTCTCCCTTACACAAATATTATCGAATAGTAGCTTGTTAGATATATGTATTGAAAGGGCTTATATGAAAATGTTTATTAAATACATAAAAAAATGTTATTGATAAGATCGAACTTGAATTGGTTTCGGTTTGGATTTGGTTCCAGTAATTAAAAAGTCCTGAATGGTTCTATTTACAAAATAATCGAAATATAATGGGTGCTTTCAGATATCGAAATATTCGGACCGACTCACCCGACGCTCATGCCTAATCAATCTATTTGAATCTATAATTTTGGAGGGAGGGGACAGGACCGGGATATTTTGCCATTTCAAAAGTTGGAAGGTCAATTTGTTTAACATTTTTCTTCAATTGAATTGAAAGTTTCTTGCGTATTTAACATTTGACATTGAGAGTATCAATCGTAGGAACTTCCCAAATTTAAAAGTTTGGACCTGGAATCTCGTTTTTGAAGGTTCTAGAAGCCAATTATGATTTTCCCTAAGTTAATGTGCACATTGTTGGTAAACTATATTTGTTAAGTTGAACTAAAATGAAAAAAAATAAAATAATAATAAATTAAAGATGACGATGATGACAATTATTATTATTATTATTGAATTTGATTATAAATTTAAACAGCTAAGAACTTGTCAACTCTGTTATAGATTTATATATTGAGAGACAAAGATATATTTCATAGAATTAATACATAATTTCAGAGTTTTTCTAGTAATATTAAATATATAAGAATTATTCTATATATTTAATATTAATAGAAAAAGTCATAAATTTTGTGCACACACTTCTTTTGATACGGCCAAATATATAGAGAAAAGAAGTCAATGAGCATTTCCACTTTATAAACCGTGGTTTTATTTTATTTTACTCTTCATATTATTCGAATGAGCTATTAGGAGTGGCGACAATGTCAAAAGAGCCATCTATTCAAATTTCGATGGGCATGATCATGATGGATCTCCAATTAGTTGTAAAAGGTTGAACCCCAACCTTAAGGGTCTCCCACCGCCCCGGGATCTCCAATCAGTTGTAATGGGTTAGGAAAGGAGGTTGGGACTTAACAAATGGTCTAAATTAATATGACTCAAACGTTTGTTTGAACTAAAAATGTGAATATCCGTGCCAAAAACAATAAATTCTTGTTCGATGACTCTGAAGATTTACAAATCAAGCATGGTATCGCAAGCAAGGAAAACTCCATTCGAGTTATTAGCTTTTTATTTAAACATACTAAAAAATTAGAAGTTATTTAAAAGTAATATTTAAGCTTTATTAAAAACATGACGCGTGTAGGAAAATTATATATTGAAATATATTTGGAAACAAAAATATACTTAATTAAGCTTATTCTAACAAACAGGGGCGGATCCAGAATTACAGTTCAATGGAGTCGAGACAAAAAATGGGCTAAAATAAATTATGAAAGAAATTTAAAAAAAATGTAAAATTTTAAATTTAACAAGGTCCAATTAAAATTTCTTGAAAATTTATTGGGGACAGTCGACCCCACTCGTTCTTTAGTGGGTTTGCCCATGCTAACAAGGAATATGCATGTCGACATCATGAAATAATTATTATTAATTTGTCTTCATTCAATTGTGTGTCAATCGAGGCTGTTGATTAGTTCTCCCGTCGTTGAATCCTATTCTCTATTTTGGCATTGATAGCCGGCCGTGGCTTTAAACGTTCTTCTCTATACAGCCAACATTTGTCCCTATTTTTCCGAAAATCCCATGTAAAAATAACAGAGTAAATACAATGAGCAAGTGACAAATACACAACCTCTCATTGGTGATTATTAACATATATTTGACCATTTCTGGAAGAAGAAGAAGAGTTTGATGAGTAGTGTGTTGAATTGAANGGGTGGGAAGAAAACTAATTCCAAGGAATTTAACTTTTTAGAAATTGTTTTCCTGAAAATTGTAAATTATTGTGTTTGATTGGAATAATTTTTTACGTAGAAAATGTTGAAATAAAAGTGTTTTTTTGGTATTCATTTGGTTTTGTTTTATATGAATATTGTTAATGAAAGGGATAAAATTTACTGATATTGGGGATGAAATTTGTTTCCATTGTTAACAAAAAAAAGTTCAAAAAAAATTATCTATTTTTTTGTTCGTTTGACTTTATTTTATATGAAAATTGTCAATTAAAGAGAAATATTTTTTTTACAATAATTCTTAGAATTTGTTTCCATTGCCCAAAAAAAAATTCGGGAAAAAAAAAGTGCTACAATAACCGAGAATTGGTGAGAATTGGAATTCTTTGAAATGCAAAAAAAAAAATCCTAGGTGGGATGAAAAGTTGGAAAATGAATTTCATGGAAAAATAGAGCTATCAAACAAGCAAAAACATGGAATTGGAATTGGTTTTCCATTTTCCATGGAAATTTTGGGTGTATCTAACACACCCTTAGAATGTATTTGATTACATTTATTTTCTATGGAAAATATCAGTTTTTCACTCAAATTCCTACTTGAAGTGTTTAATTGCTATTTTTTCATAGAAAACATTTTCCAAATTTTGAAAATATGCCTAATTTTTCTTGTTTTTAGGGAAAACATTTTCCTTGTGTGGAGATGATTTTTGTTTTCCTCAAAAAAAGGAAAACATTTTCTTTTCTAAGTGATATTTTCCATTTCAATCAAACACACTCTTAATGTTTTTTCTTCTCATTGTAGTGGTTTCAGAAACGAGATAACAAAGCCATGCTTGAAGCCTTGGAAAAAATCAAAGCAGGTAAAATGCTAAAATAATTTTCTTTTACATACGACGAATACCTAGTAATCTTCAAAAATGACATGTCTCATACTTTCAAATTTTTATTTTACTTTTCAGAACTGATGCTACTAGGTTTTATATCGTTACTCTTGACATTTGGTACATCCTATATTGCCAAGATATGTGTGCCAAAACATATTGGAGATCAATGGCATCCATGTGATAAAAAGGATAAGGGAGATAAAGAAGATGGTGAAGATGAAGATGGACGTCGAAAATTGTTGTCTTATGCTGGAGAATTAATTTGGCGTCGAGCTTTGGCAGCTGAAACTGATGAAACCGACACGTGCTCTAAAAAGGTGAGAGAGTAATTATTGAAAATGAAATTTAAATAAATAAATTTGTTTCCTATTTAACACCTTAATTTATTTTTTGAATTTGTTATTTTATTTTATTTTATTTTAAACAGGGGAAGGTATCCTTGATATCATACTCAGGAGTGCACCAACTGCATATTTTTATATTTGTTCTTGCAGTTATGCATGTTCTTTACAGTGTCATCCTCATGGGCTTGGGCTATGCCAAAGTAAGTTCATAACATATATATTTTTAAAATTTAAATTGTCAAAGAAATTTTTTTGATATTTAATATTTTTCCTTATCGATGATGATAGATGAAGAAGTGGAAAGCATGGGAATTGGAAACAACCTCCTTGGAATATGAATTCACAAATGGTAATTTTTTCCTATTTTCTTCCAGATCGAAAATACTACAATACCGATTGAAAGGATTACTATGTATTTGTGAATACGTGGTGAATTCTCAAAATGCTCTTAGAAAAAGAAGTTCACGTGCAAGGCATGTGCCACTTTAATCGAGTAACAGCATACGATTTCCAATCAAATCGAGACTTTTGTGGCTATTTCTAAGAAGTTAGGATCTATATGCTTTAAAAAGTTAACGTGTAAGACTTGCTACTTAAACTGAGCAACATCGTATTGTTTCCTTCCAAATGGAGACTTGTGTGACTATTTCTAAGAAGTTAGGATCTATATGCTTTAAAATGTTAACTTGCAATGTTTTTGAAAATTGAATAGAATCTATTTGAGGTTAAAGCTATTGTAGCATGTTTGATTACTAGATTATTCGATAAGATAATTGATAATTTTATTAACAGATCCAGCTAGATTTAGATTTGCTCATCAAACATCCTTTGTGAGGCGACATGGGGGAATCAGTAGTACACCTGGGATTAGATGGATTGTAAGTTTTTTTTTTTTTTTGTTAATTAATTCTAAAAAATTCTTGTATTTATTGCAAATATAGTTCTTTTAATTTTCTTATTACACAATTAACAGGTAGCATTTTTCAGACAATTTTTTGGATCAATATCCAGGGTGGATTACATGGCCATCCGCAATGGATTTATCAATGTGAGTTGCCTCTTTTGGATTTTTCATTTATTTGTAAAAAATCATTTATGTTGTAACACAACAAGCTATAAAAGAAATTAAACCCAATCAATATTATATATTCGATTGACATAAGTTTGATTTAACTACATCCCAAAAGGCGATAAATATCATTCTTGCAACCAAAATTCGAGTATAGATTCATTGTCCATTTAGTTGTCCTATCCCTAAATTTTGATAAATCACTACAATTTTAAGGTGCAAATTTTAAAATGTGATAAAAATCCGTTAAAATCTACTACAATTTTTAAGGTGTCAAATTTAAAATTTTGTTGACACCTCAAGATTATAGTGAGATGTCAAAATGTTATTGTCGGGACAACAAATTTTATGAAGTATGTTAACAAAATTACTACTTTTATCTAAAAGGTTTGTAACTATAGGAAATTGTTCTTCAAATTTTTTGCCTGGGTACATTAAATTAGAATAAGTTAAAAGTTACTAGAGTAAAACACTAATCAATATGTCTTATACTCAATATGCTTAAAATTTCTAACATAAATTCCTTTTTCATTGCTCTATTT